TTTATCTAATATCTTTCTCTTCTTCTGTCGTTCAAGTTCTGTTATGTAGGTAATCGTTTCGTCTAGGGATTCAACTAAGTCCAAGGGCAGATTACTGCGGCAAAATTCCATATGTTGCTCTTTAGAAATTTGAAATTTCCGATCAATACGGACTGACACACACGACGGCAGCTTACTAGCTGAGGCACCAAATGAGTATTGATTTTGTAGCACGTTTGAAATTTTAATTGTTTTCAGCACATTTACTCTAGTCTGACGACGACACGGGGAACCGACGTCGAAAATTTACTCAATAAAGTTTTCTCCCTTTCCCAAAGAACGTTTTGATTTCAAAAATAACTATATAGGACTGATGAGAATTTATGGAAAGCTTACGTATGCTCGCCAAATTGTCTTTTTAACTATTCAAACATGTTTGCTCAACCCCAAGATTCTAGCTGTCTAAAAGAGTGAGTGGGCGGGACGATAACAAGTAAATTGCGTATTTTCAGGAAGTTCACATGTATGCTAACGTTGCCACTGTTGCTCAGCAACTGGTTACTCCTCGGACGAAAATCTGTTCGTACAAAATGTACCCGATCTCGGACGGCAGAACGACAGTCTGTGGGCTCACTGGTGGCGTCATTGCTGGGTGATCAAGTGACTCGTGGTTTGAATCTCGGGTGTACAGTACAGGATCAGAATGCTTATTTCGTCGCTGATCTTCTACTATATACCGCCTGTGGATACAAAGGACAATAGACCCGTTCTACTCCTATGGTACTGTATGCTTGGCCTTGAAAATCATTCAGTAATTGGGGTCCATTTGGACAGTACCGAAAATCCTCTCCTAAGAGCCCATTGTTGAACATTTGCTTTTTTCTGTAATTACGGATCCCTCTAAAAACACGAATGGTATAAAATGAGCCAAAATAACTACTAAATAGTGTGTAGTAGGCCTTTTACTACAGCATTGTAAAAGCGTAAACGCTTTCTGGAACTTCATCATGGTCCTTAATATACACTCTCCAAATGACAAACAGAGTTTCTCTGAAGTTCTATTTAAAGCGAACGTATGACGGAGAATGAAATGGCAGGAACCACTGCTTCCAACAACTAGTTCGTGCCAGTCGAAACACACTTGAACAGCTTAATTTTCTCGATACGTGAGTATCTGTCAAATAGGACGAAGTCATCGTCTTCATAGTAGGACGTCGGCGTTCACATCGATCCCACCGAACGTGGCGTACGGACTCCGAGCAAGCCTACGACGAAACTCAGAGCACGATCGAAATTGGGCATTTTGCGGGACCGTTCGAATTTTGCCGAAAGCTTTACTTCACTTTTGTGGCACATGAAAATCCCAACTGGTTTCCAGTCTCCACTTGAGTGACATAACCGGTTTTACAAGATCTAGAAAGGGCTCTCTTCATCCGGTAAGAGCCAGGTTTTAGATGCAACTCCATGTACGACGGGTTTGCTATCGTCGGGCGGAAGATGCTGTGAAATGTCATAATATTCTGAATTCAATCTTCGCGGATATACAATTAACGAGGGAGGAATCAAAGGAACAACAGCCAGACGAAGTCCCAATGGAGAACGATATATAACAATTAAGAGGAGGACAACGAAAAACACCTATAATCTTAATTTTCACAACAACCATCAGGTGGCTCAAAAACTAAACAGTGCGGGAACATTGTTTAAGTGGGCCCATACTGCCGCAACCAGGAGGAAACACACATTGAGGCCGGATATTTCCAAGACCAATTTGTGTGGAATGGCTGTCAGAAGGCGTTTATAAACTGAAGCCTAAGTATTGGCTCCAAAGGGCCCAGGAGGAGAGACCACGGAGGATACGGCATCCGCTTCACGCAAAAGGGGTGCTTCGGAGATTACCGAGCGCCTCAATGTAGGACTGTGATTTGAAATCGCACGGCTGTCCAAAGCTGCCATTCTCATCAGGGACATAAAAGTAAAGGCCGAGTAAATCCCCGAGAGCATTCCGATGCAGTGCCGTATCCCGTGCCTAAACTGTCCTCGTTATTACACAGGTCAGACAGTACGTGTGCTGGGACAGAACATACGCGACCACAGGCTGCCCGTGTGGAAGGATGACGAGTTATCATAAGCAGTTGTCAATAATCTCGAAACGGGTCACGAGTTTAACACTGCAGCCACCAAGATAGCCGCTCATGCTGGAAGATAATCGACTTTGGCACCTGTCCAGTCGTCTCCAGACCTATGTCACCGATCTTTAGTTG